CAGAGCGCCTCGACGTCACTTGGCCGCTCGACGACCAGATGGGCGGCGGCAATAATGAGCGCACCGAAGCTGTTCGCTGCCTGTACAGGGCCCTGTCAGCCCGCGGCTTGATAGTGGGTGTCTACGAGGAGCGGACGTGGAGCGACGCGGCCGGCGGGGGCAGCGGTTGGCAGCGCCTTCCGGGGGTCTTCAAAACGAAGCTGCGGTTCTGCACAGAGTCGCTCCTCGTCCAGAGCGCGCTCGGGCCCTTGGACAAGCTGTTGAGGACGGCGTGTGGCCTGGACGTGGACGGCCGCCCCACGCGCGTGCAGGGCGTCGATCCCCCCCCGCGGCGCCTCCTTTACTTGGAGCGCACGCCGGAGGAGCGGGGCAAGGGCAAGGGCGGAAAGGGCCCCAAGGGCGGCAAGGGCGACAAGGGGAAGGGCAAGGCCGGCAAGGGCGGCAAGGGCAAGGGCAAGGCCAAGGGCAAGAAGGGTGCGGGAGCAGGTGGCGTGATCCAGGGGGCGCGCCCGGCCGGCCACCTTGCGCGCCCGGCGGCGGCGGTGCCGCCGGCTGCCGCTCCTGCCGCCGACCCCGCGGACGGAGGTGCCGCCGCCCCGGCGGTGGCCGCCCCGGCGGACGCCGCTGGCGCCCCCCCCTGCGGGGGGGCCCCAGTAGGCCTCCAAGCGCCACAGAGACATGCATGAGAATTCGGCTTAAAGGGCCGCAGAATTGGCTTAAAGGGCCCAGAGCATGGCGTGTGAATTCGGCTTACAGGGCCCAGAGTCTCTTGTGAGTGCAAAGCATGGATACGAGCTTGGTCGACCTGTCGTGGACCTGTCAGCCTTGTACTTCATGTACGACTTTTTCAACATGCCGTGGAGCTCGGGCTGTGCTAAAAGGGGTGATCACTGTGACTCCTCTCCCGTCGCCGGCGTTTTGCTCGGACTCGGCTCGTTCATGCTCCCTGTCAAAACGTGTTTGTGTTTTTGTGGTGGTGTGTTCCTCTGGTTTGGGCTGTGTCGATGGTGTCGGTCCCTCTCCCCCCTCCCTCCCCCTCCCCCCCCCTCATCGCCTTCTACTTGATCCTTAGGAGGCGCCCGCGTTCATCGTGAAGGCCCGGGAGTCGTGCGCGGCTGTCTACCCGGAGGCGGAGGCGGAGGCGGAGGAGCATGATCAGGGCATAGAGTTCCGATCGGGGGCTAGACTGGGACTCAGTAGGAAGGGTGCCCAAAATAATGGCGTCGCACCGAAACTCAGGCGCATGAACACTAGCCTCATCCAACCTAACCGCCGCCCAGCCACACCGTCGAAGCCTCCAATCCAGAGCCCACTTACCCCCAGAGCCGTCCAGTCCGAATCTGCCTCCACGGACCCTCCGGCCACCATCGAAGCGGCCCCAGGACTGACGAACATCGCGGGGTGGCGGCAGAGGTGCGACAGCTGCAGCAAGAGGAGGAAGCCCACGGTTCCAGAAAGCACTGCGAACGTGCTCAGGACGATCCGCCATCGCAGCAAGATCCTGGGATCGATGGATATGGTCTGAATCGATCTGAGCATTGGCCGAGCACGACCAACATCGGTGGAGGCTTGTTTCGCGAGCAACCCCGCACCGCGGGCACATGCCGTCTGTGAGGTACCCGGCATCCTGAAGTCGAGCCTCGGGCCAAGTACCCCCTAAGACAATGCACACCAGCAAGGCAGCGTCAGAATACTTGCCATCTTTCAAGAAAGCGGAGTGCATCCTCCGGAACACGGTAAAATCAGCTCCCCCATCCAAGCCTTCCCCACAAAAGTGCTGAGCTGCCTTGCTAGATAGCATTCGGGAAACTGTCGGCCGCACGGCAGCTGTGACGTGGAACAGGAAGTCCCTATCTTCCAAATTGAGAATGCCCACCGGCGAACCCCAAGATGTAGGCGAGGTGGGAATCCACTCGAGGTCCAGAAGGGTGCAGATGGTCGCCGCAAGCGGCCCAGAAACAATGCGCCATCTACGAGAGGGTGGAAGCGCCGTAAGCCGGTCACGGTGTCGAACCCAAGCGCGTCGCACTCCGAGGCGTTGACCTGGCGTCAAAAACTTCCACACGCTTGCAAGAGCCAGGAGCTGTTCGCGCCGCAACCGATAAGCAGGATCATCACCGTAAGAAGTAATCATTCCCAAGACCGTGGTTGTACATGCACCTGATGTCCAATATCCAGAACACTTAGCGGCCTGCGATCGGAAGCTCTGGAGATCCGCGAGCGCGAGACCGAGGACCGAGTACCCCCACGAGCCAACACTCAACACACCCGGCTTAAAGATCTTGCGCGCGCGACCGCACAGGCGGGCAAGATAGGCTAGCCGGCGAGAGCGCGTAAAGGCCGTCCGCCGGCGGAGTTTGACCTTCCAAGTGCACCTCCTCTTCCCAGCCGTAGTCATAACTCCAAGATCTTTCACCATGCCTTTGAAAGTAATAGGCAACCCTGCCTCCTCAAACCGATCTGTCAAATCCTTAGCCAAAGGCGCGCAGGAAGCAACAGCAGCAGACTCGGAAGATATGATACATCCCAGTGACTTGACGTCCTCGCAGAAGCTGGCCGCTGCACCAGGAAGCGAAGAAACAATATGGTTGCGGCTACCTTGCAAGTACTGGGTAATGTTGTCAATGTATGAACGAATGGGGACCATGGGTATGCGTGTGTGCGCTCGATCAAGCACGCCATGCAAGTACGCCTTGACCCATGGAACCGATTGAGAGCAACCCGCCAAAATCGAGCGACCCGTTGGGATGATGTCCGAGACAGCCCCTTTCACCTCGAGGATCCTAGGACTTGTATGCACCACAATGCCGAAATACAACAAATGTGCTGGATAGTCTACCTTAAGAGCCAGCTGGACCAACAACGCTGGAACCGCCGAGTCAAAGAACTTCTCCATGTCCCAGTGGAGGGAGGCAGACTCGAAACTGAGCGCACCCGCGACCTCGTGACAAAGCTCGCGAAGAAGCGCCGCCTGAAGCGCCGAGGAATTCCGTACAGCGCTATCCCAGAAATCCGTGTGCGCAACAGTCCACTCATGAATGTGATCACCACGCATGCGCGCGTACATTCGGTAGAGCGTAGAACACTTCGAAACGGCCCGTTCGTCCTGCACCGACTTCGGGAGAAGGGCCATGATATTCATATAGCACTGATGTGGAAAGGCAAGGGCCTTCTCACAGGCCGTGAACAACGCAGCCAGACAATGCACAGCCTGGCCTGGAAGCCGCGGGAAATCCCGCGGTGACCACTGATCTACCCCCACAGCTGTACTGCTAGAAAAACAAGTAGCCGCTTGCAAGACGTCCTGGGCTTCGAAATCAGGGAGCTCCATCAGCGAAACCTGGGCCAGGGCACGAAGCTCGTTGAGCGTATCATTGAGGACCTGCAGGTGCTTCTGGGACGGGGCCCACCACTTGGACCAGAAGGTGTGCCTGTACTGCATCATGTCCTGAGGGGTTTGGCGGATGCCGTCCGGCGCGCGGAAGTACTCGACCGTAGGTCTGGAATCACTCTTCAACCAATTGTGAACCTTCCTCGCCCCTCCCGGCAACGCCTCCTTCAGCCACTTACGAATGCCAGCCTCATTAGAAGCACGCACCTGGTTGACCGCCTGCTTGCATACCTCAGCGGCCTTATCAACAAGCCGGCGAACTGCATCAAGACCGACGGGAAGATCAGCCAATGCAGTCGCCCAATCTTGCGCCTCAGCGGGGGCATGCAAGGGCTCAATATGGGAGAAGACCTGGTACGCCTGGCTCACGATGAAATCAAACAACTTCCTAGCCTGTGCAGAGGATGCCTTACCACTCAGGGCCTTCCAGTACCCGAACAAACGGGAGTAGAGCATGGACCAAAAGCACAAGTGCGGAAAGTTGAAGGCCTGCTTGTTGGGGCCCCGACGCCTGAGGGTCCCCGAGGACCGCTGGAGAGGACCACCACGCCCCAAAACACGGTCCGAGTGTTCCAACACAGCACATCCCAGGGAAACAAATACCATCTCCGCCGCCCGAGACCACAAAGCATAGTCTCCCGAAAGCTCGTCCGAAGCATAGGAGAGGGTGTGGCAAAGTGACGCTTCCTTAACATCAGGCGGAGGCTGCCAATCGTAGCCGCGCGCACAAGCCATGTCCAAGTAATGCAACCACAAATGATCAGGCCCACAAGCTTGAGGCATCGCCGCCGCCCGTAACCTACGCTGCACCTCCTGCCGGAGCACTTCTCCAGAAATGGTGACATGCAAACACGCATGGGTCTTGAACGGGGAGTGCGCCACCGTGCAGACTGAAACATAGGGAGCCAGGACCTTGGAGCAAACTACATAGTCTATCATAGTGCAGCCAACGTCACACGTGTATTCAACCCCAGCTGGAACACGCACGCGAGACCTCGTAAGCTCCAAAAATCCAGACTCAGCAAGCATCTCGGGACACATATTGAAATCTCCATGCAAAACCCAAGGAACACTCAAGGAATTGGTAAACTCAGCAATCTGCCGCAACCGCATAATATTTTCACCAGTCGCCCCGATGGAACACACCAGGTAAACAACGCCCATAGCCACCGAAAGCCCATGAAGTTTGAACTCCAGGAAAAAACAGCAAGTCCCCGAGCCCACATTGAGCACCTCAGACACGCCCGAGAGGAACCGTTGACACCAGAGACTCTTCTGACAGAACGCTGCCACTCCCCCGTGAGTCCCACCTCCTGGGGAATCGATGGCTGCTTGAACAAATGGATTCCAACCCATCGCTTTTGAATCCTTCTTGGCCTTGACGACACCTTCGGGGCGAAGGTGATGTTCAGCAATGAACATGGCGTCCATGGCTGAGGTACTGGTAGAGAGAAAGCCCTTCGTGAGATCAGACCAGCTTGTAACATTGCAGAATCGAATCTCCAGGCCTGCACCTTTGTCGCGCCGCCTCATCGGCAGGGGGGCGCGACGGAGGCGGGCTAAAACTCTGCGCTGGGGCTCCACCCCCTGCAGCTGGCCGAGGAACAGCCTGCAGCTGGGAGGCCGCCGCCTGGCAGAAGGCGACGAATCTGTGATTAGACTGCTCGCGCACCGCTTTCTTGGCACGCTTGGCGGCTCGAGCCACCGCGACCTTCGAGAGCAGCACTCCATACCGCTCCGCGGCCCGCGGGTCCAAGCCTGTATCGGCTGCGCGCTCGCGGAGGTCACGCAGCTCAGAAGTCTCATCACCAGGAAGATCAGGATCCCCAGCTTCGCTGGCCGCCTCCGAGGCCATGTCGATCTCCAGCTCGGCGGCGCGCTGCTGGAGGGCAACCTTGCGCATCTCGACCCACTGCTCTGGAGACAGATGCGAGCGCCCATGGAAACGCTGAAGATCAGGCTCAGAGAGTTCATGAAGGTGGTCCTGAACCCACTGGAAGTCCACATTGCCCACAGCTGTGACTCCAGGAGGCGGCGCAGCAGCACCAGGGGCGGCCTGATGAGCTGCACCGCCTGGTGGCGGGCCACCTGCGGGGGCGCCTGCCGCAGGGGCCCCGCCAGCCACACCGGGTGCCCCATCCACCCGCCTGCCGCGCCGCCTCGTCATGAGCGGCCTGCGCAGCACGGGCAGCAGCTGCCGCCTCCTCGCGCCCCTTGGCACGGAGCTGCTCACGGTATTGGACTTCGTTGAAGCCGTCCTTCTGGGCGTTGGCCTCGCGAAGAGCCTCGGCGGCCTCGGCGTGCCACTGCTGGGACTCCGCGTGCAGACGCTCAGCCTTGGCCAACGCCTCACGATGCCGAACGACAGCCTCATCACGCTGCTGAACGTCAGATTGGGCCACCCGCTCCTTCCTGCTCGCCTTCTCAACCGCACGGGACAGCTCCGTACGGTGGGCCTGGATCTGCTTCTCGATGTCATTGGCAGAAGCAGGCTCGCGAGCTTCAGGCGCAGGTGGTGGGGCCGCGCCCTGGAGCTGTCCAAGGGCGGCCGCCATGGTTGGGTACTTCGCCGCCAACGCCTGCAAGTCAGCCGCGAATTGATCAGGCACTCCAGCATCAGCAACATGAGGAACATGGGCAGCATCGCCAAGGTAGCTGCCGCCGCAGACGCTGCACGTCCAGTTGCCGAAGTGGTCGTACTCCCAGTGGCCGCATTTCGAGCAGACTGAGTAGGCTCCGCGGCGTCGCCCACCCTTCTGCCCTGGCCACTGCTTGCCTTTGCCCCCCTTCGCCCACGGCGTCTGGGAGCGCCATGCCATGATGGGCACAAGGCTGAGAGGGTGCTCCTGCAGGAGCTCACAAAAACTTCTCTTCGCCTACGTCCAGCGCGCAGCCTAGACGAGGTTGCACAAACAATCGGGGCATGTCCGCGGACCAGCGGTCTCCAGTTTTGCCTCGGGGTTTGCAGCCCCCAAAGCATCAGCCTTGAGCCAAAATGGCTACGGGGGGAGGAGGGAGGAGGAGGGAGGAGGAGGAGGAGGAGGAGGAGGAGGAGGAGGAGGAGGAGGATGTCACGCGTGCGGAACTGCACTGTCAATGCCGCGTTTTCCTGTGGCTCTGCTGCGCTCCTGCTCGCGACGCCGCACCGCCAGAGGCGGCGGAGAGCTTGAGAGGGAAAGTGCGCCAGTGGATTTTCCTGAATACACTAAAGGGGGCGGGGGGGTCCAGAACCCCCCCCCCCCCCTCCTTCAAGGGGGGGGGGTCCGGGCCCCCCCCCCTCCCCCCCTTAAGGGGGGGGGGGTCCCGAACCGCCCCCCCCCCTCCCCCCTTGGCGCTGGAAGGGGTCGGACCCCCCCCCTCGTGTAGGGAGCACGGAGTTGGGAGTAGGGAGTGGTCAGTAGTGGGTAGTGAGTTAGTGCGTAGTGAGTAGTGAGTATTGGGTAGTGAGTACTAGAGACTACTGAGTATTGGGGTAGTGAGTAGTAGTGAGTGGCGAGTAGGGGGCAGGGGGTAGGGAGTGGGGAGTAGTGAGTAGTGATCGTGAATAGTGAGTAGTGCGTACTGATAAGTGAGTGGTGAATGGCGAGTAGTGTTAGTGAGTAGTGAGTAGCGAGTAGCGAGTAGTGAGCACTGAGTAGGGAGTAATGAGCAGTGGGTAGTGAGTAGTAGGTAGTGAGTAGTGGGTGGCGAGTAGTGACTAGTGAGTAGTGAGAAGTGGGTGGTGCGTAGTGCGTAGTGCGTGATGAGTAGTAAGTACTGAGTAGTGAATAGTGAGTAGTGAGTAGGGAGTAGGGAGTAGAGAGTAATGAGTAGTGAGTACTGAGTAGGACGTAGTGCGTAGTGCGTAGTGAGAAGTGAGTAGTGAGTAGTGATGAATAGAAAGTAGTGGGTAGTGGCAGTGGGTAGTGAGTAGTGAGTAGCGAGTAGGGAGTAGCGAGTAGTGAGTAGTGAGGAGCGAGTAGGGCGTAGTGAGTAGTGAGTAGTGAGTAGAGAGTAGTCAGTAGTGAGAAGTGGGTAGTGATTAGTGCATTAGTGAGTAACGAGTAGGGAGTAGCGAGTAGTGAGTAGTGGGTAGTGTAGGGATTAGGAAGCAGTGAGCAGTGAGTAGTAAGAAGTTTGTAGCGAATAGTGGGTAGTGAGTAGCGATTGGTGAGTGGTGGGTAGTGAGTAGTGACTAGTGACTAGTGAGTTGTGACTAGTGACTAGAGACTATGTAGTGACTCGTGGGTAGGGAGTAGTAAGTAGTGAGTAGTGAATAGTGAGTAGCGGGGAGTGAGTAGTGAGTATTGAGTAGCGAGTATGGGAGTAGCGGGTACTGAGTATTGTGTAGTCAGTATTGTGTAGGGAGTAGGGAGTGGTGAGTAGCGAGTAGTGGGTAGTGAGTAGTGATTTGTGGGCTTTGAGTAGTTAGTAGTGAGTAGTGGATAGTGGGTAGTGGGTAATGAGTAGTGATTAGTGAGTAGTGAATACGGAGTAGTGCGTAGTGCTTAATGAGTAATGAGTATTGAGTAGTGGGCAGTGAGGAGTGAGTAGTGAGTAGGGAGGAGGGAGTAGTGAGTAGTGAGTAGTGAGTAGCGAGTAGTGGGTGGAGGGTAGTGAGTAGTGGATAGTGAGTAGTGAGTCGTGACTAGTGAGTACGGGGTAGTGAGAAGTGAGTAGCGAATAGCGAGTAGTCAGTCGTGGGTAGTGAGTAATGAGTAGTGAGTACTTTTTTGGGGTTGGGGTTAGTGGTTGGGGTTAGGATTAGGGGTTTGGGTTAGGGTGAGGACTAGGGGTAAGGGGTGGCGGGGGTTGGGTTCCAGAGTCAGGGGGCGGCGTGGCGAAAGGGGGGGAGGGGGGGGGGGGGGGGGGGTTGGGACCCCCCCCCTCCCTTTGAAAGGGGGGGCGGGGGGGGGGGGGGGGTCCCCGCGACGGGTCGGGGAAAAGGGGGAGGGAGGGGGGGGGTCCCCGACGACGGATCGGGAAAGGGGGGGGGGGGGATCCCGACGACGGATCGGGGAAGGGGAAGGGGGAGGAGGGGGGGGGGGCCTAACCCCCCCATCCCCCCCCCCCCCCCCCCCTTGGGGACATCCAGCGGCGCACCCTCCTTGAGAGGTCCCCCATACCAAAAAAGTCTGCCTGCGCTTCCCGGGGTCCCTACCTGGCAGGGCGTCGGATCGCGCCGGGACGACCGGTTCGGTATAGAGTTTTTTGCATGGGGCCCACCACGCAGTTTCCAGCGGCGTGCCCGCGAGTCGCATCGCCCGTCTGCCTGCGCCGCCCGGGGTCCCGATCTGGCAGGACGTTGGATGGCGCCGAGACGACCGTTTCGGTGGAGTTCTTGTCCATGGGACCCACCACGTAAGTTCCAGCGACACGAGGGAGTAGCGCGCGCAGAAAGGAAGGGCGGCGGAGGGCGGCGGAAGCAGAGCGAGGCCGCCTCCCCTGGCGGTAGCTGGCGGAAGGGCGGCGGAGGGTGGCGGAAGCAGGAAGCGCGCCCCTAAGAGATGACAGCATGTTGGGGTTCAGGGTTTCTGGAGCCTGCCACATGCGTGCCTGCAGACATTCCTCCTCGCTGCGGGAAGAGAAGGGACGAGCACCCCACGGGCCTGGCGTTCAGGCGAGACAATCTCGTGCTAAAGAGGACTTGCCCTGACCATGTCATCGCTCGGCGAGGACCATCGACGAGGACCCTGGAGGAGCATGTTGGGCCACCTTGCGAACAAGTGCGCGCGCGAAGCCGAAACATGCACGGGGAATGGACGTCCGAGCGATGACCAGCTGCGGAGAGCGGGGCGGCGGGCGCAGAAAGCTAAAGAGAGTGTCCAGCGGGGGCCCCGCTCTGAACAGGAGCTGCCCGCCATGAGCGCAATACAGTCGGACCGAGGTATAGGATCTAGGTCGGCTCGGGGGGGGTACCCTCCTCCTCCTCCTCCTCCTCCTCCTCCTCCTCCCCTCCTCCTCCTCCTCCTCCTCCTCCTCCTCCTCTCCTCCTCCTCCTCCTCCTCCTCCTGCCTCCGGCGCGAGCCACCTGATGCTCGAAGTGGCGGACGCGGTGCTGACCGCCCCCTCCCTGCCCGCGGCGGCGCTCGTGGCGGCGCGTGGCTTTGGAGACGGCCCGATGGCGCGGCAGATCAAGGCCAAGCGCTTCGTCTCGAGGCGCCGTGCTGCGACGCGCGCCGCGCGCCGCCCGCGCCGCCTGCTGGGCGGGATCGTGTGCCTGGAGGCGCTGCTGGACGCCTTCTTCGTGCGCTGGCTGCTGCTCGCGCTGGCGCCGCCCCAGGTCAAGGACCTCGAGGGCGGCAAGAATTGGGTGCACGGCGAGGAGTTGCTGCTCCTCGGGGTCCTCTGAGGAGGCCCGTGGCCGGGGGCCTTGTCCGAGGGACGGGCCCCCGCGGTGGTCGGGGGGCCCACCCTGCGAGGGGGCCCCCCGCGGCGGGAGGGTCGGCACCGGCTCCTCCTGTGGCTCGCAGATCCTCCTCCCCCTCCCCCTCCCCCTCCTCCTCCTCCTCCTCCTCCTCCTCCTCCCCCCCTCCTCCTCCTCCTCTGGGTGGCCCCGCAACTCCGCACGTGTGCCGCGTGTTCAGTTCAGTTCGGGAAGGGTACCCTAGTGTTATTCGTGCTCGCTGGATGTTCTCGTGCATCCTTGGGGAGGGTACCCTCGAGTGCTCTTCATGTTGGGTTGGCGGAGTGCTCCGTGCTCTTGGAGGATGTTTTTTTGCCTCAGGTCCGGCCGTAATAGTTGTTCAATCTACTCGCACACGCCGGGTCGCACATGCCGGGGAAGTCGTCAAGCGAGAGCCCCATTTGGAAAAGAAGCCGCCTTCCACCGGTGGTGGGCGATCATCATGCAACGTCGATCGCGGGCAGGAAACGGCGGGGCGGGCGCCCCAATCCCAGCTCCCACGCCTGGGCGAAAGGAAGGGGGGCGCCGCGCGGCGCGCAGCGGCGCGGGGCGACGCGAGCCCAAGCGGTGGGCGCGAGGCGTCGCGCAGTCCGCCGTGCTTGCAGGGGCGAGCGCGCGAGGGGGCGCGTGCGCCGCCCAGGGTTGGGAGGGGCGCCACGCGCGTTCGGCTGGGTAGCTTGTCCCCCTCCCCCTTCCCCATCCCCCCCATCCCCCTCCCACCCCCCCTCCCCTCCTCCTTCCTCCTCCTCCTCCTCCTCCTCCTCCTCCTCCTCCTCCTGCCTCTCCTCCTCCTGCCCGGGGCACCCCCGCCAGCGGAGCTGGCGGGCGGTCGGCGCCGCCTGTATCGGCGGGGTAGAAGTGGAGCTGGCGACCAGCCGGAGGACTGGCGGAGGTGGGAGGGGTCGCCCCCCCAGGGGAGGGGGGTTGGCCGCGGTGGGACTGTGCCCCTTCCTTCCTCCTTTCTCCTGGCTCCTCCCTCCTCCCCCCTCTCCCTTTCCTCTTCTCTCCTCCCCCCGGGGGTCACAGTGTCGCTGCGGTCCACTCCCCCGCTGGGGCTGGGCCGGAGGAGACCGCGGCGGCGCGCGGAGCGCGCTGCCGCGGCGGGTGAGCGCGGAGCGCCCACGCCGTGCTGGAGCGCGGCCAGTGCTCGGCGCCAGAATCGCAGTGGTTGATTTTTCAGCTGCGAAGTTTTGGGAGGCCCTCTCGCCCAGGGAAAGCCTGGAATAGGGGTGGCTTCATTATCGACGGCTGTGCTCTCGTGCTCATGGCACAGTTGAACGGCGAGCAAAATCCAAGCAAAATCCTCCTCCTCCTCCTCCTCGTCCTCCTCCTCCTCCTCGTCCTCCTCCTCATCCTCGTCCTCCTCCTCCTCCTCCTCCTCCTCCTCCTTTCCCTCCTTTCCCTCCTTGTCCTCCTCCTCCTCCTCCTCCTTCT